ACCTTTTAGGACAAGTTTTTGCCCCAGCTTGGCTAATTGGACGCTTTTTGTGTTGACTGGGTGGCAGGAGCTGTTAGGATGTGGGCTGGCAAGGTGGTCATGCCTCTGGCTGTGCCCTTGTGGGCTGGGTGGATGTGGCCTTGGAGGCATAGCTGCCCATGGGGTCTCCATGCCCGGGGCCTTTCCGTTCTTTGGCCATGCCAGCCCTGGCCTCAGGCTCTGGGAGGGGAGGGCTGGAGCTGGTATGATTCTCCGCTCACAGTCCAGCGGTGAGCCCTGGTCGCAGGGCTGCTTTTGCAGGTGAGGGGGCCAGGAAGTGTAGTCTGGCTGCACAGTGCTCCTGGGACAGTGCTGCTTGTGGAAGGGCAAGTGGGGGCTTGTGAATGCCCCAGCCTGCCTGCCACACTGGGGCTGGAGGACTTGGGGGTGTCTGGCTTCATTGTTTTCTGTGGTCCCTCCATTCCCCTCCTCCTGCTGAAACTAAGCCTGGAAAAGAAGTGCAGGAGCCCACAGAGCATGATCTTACTTTCTGCCACCCCGTTTTTTTCCTGGTCCTGGGGATTGAACCCAGGGTGCTCTATCACTGAGCTACACTCCCAGTGCTTTTATTTATTTTTATTTTTATTTATTTATTTTTTTTAGAGAGAGTGAGAGAATTTTAATATTTATTTTTTAGTATTTGGCGGACACAACATCTTTGTCTGTATGTGGTGCTGAGGATCGAACCCGGGCCGCCCGCATGCCAGGCGAGCGCGCTACCGCTTGAGCCACATCCCCAGCCCTTTTTTTTTATTTTTAGACAGTTGCAGAGGCTGGCCTTGAACTTAGGTTCCCCTGCCTCAGTCTCCTGAACAGTTGGGATGACAGGTGTGTGTGCTGGCCTGACCTGGGTTCTTGTACCTTATGCAGGAGCATAAATGTGAAAACGCATAGGAGAATGTGTACTGTCTGGAATTTTAAAAGAAATCTGTCAACTTGCCTTATAATTAGAAAGCAGAAAAATTATTTGAATTCTTGAGTGTTAGCTTGCTTCTGAGACATTTTTTCCTTTGAGATAATTCACAAAAACAGAAAATTAATATAATACAGATTTCCCAAACTGAACTCGGTGCGTAGTTAACATGAGTTGCAAAAGGAATGCTGACCTGCACCAGCATAGGATGACACACCATGCTGGTGCAGGTCGGCATCCCTTTTGCAGCTCAGTCTTCAAGTGTTTGCTCAGTATTCAGATTAGTTTCTCTTGCCTCCCACAGAAGACAGAGTGGGCCACTGTGTGGTCAGCAGTGCCAGGTGGCCTGGCTCCCAAAGTGGGGATGGGACAGTATTGGTCAGCGGCTGTGCAGCTTGCTAAGTTGCTGAGGGAGGCCCTGAACTGAGGGCACACGTGGTTTGGGTTTGTGGGGGCCGCCTGGAGTGGAGCCCTGAGTCCTTGTCTGCACGTGACCATGGCATGTGTGGTGTTCCAAGCTTTCCACTACAAACAACTGATTGGTAGTGGCCTTTTGTATTAAAATGTGGCAAATACAAATTCATGAGAAGTACTTTAAATACTATATTTTTCAGGGAGAGGATATTTTTTAAAAATTTTGTTTAGTTGTTGATGGGCTTTTATTTTTATTTATTTACATGCGGTGCTAAGGATTGAACCCAGTGCCTCACACATACACATGCTCTGCCACTGAGCCACAGCCCTAGCCCAGAAGAGGGTACTTTTGTGTCTTGATTTTGGTAGGCTTTTTTTTTTTTTTTTTTCTTGCATGTACTTGAACAAAGCCTGAGATGGCCCTTGTTTGGGTGGATGATGAGCCAAGGGAGAGAAGAGTTAATTTTCTATAATAGTAGACGTGGGCCTGCTCTGGCTGGGCTCAAGGACCAGCTGCATGAGCCGTGGAGCCAGGGGAGCTCGCCTCTGGAAAGCGCTCCTTGAGTCCGTGCGGCGATGCCCCAGTGTTCTCAAGGTCCGTGGATGTCTTTGAACCAAGCAGACAAAGGTCTCCTGCACATGGCAGACCCACGCCTTGTAAGTAAACTGCTCAGCAGAAAAGGTGCAAGTCCAGAGGAAGCCCGGAGAGCACAGTGAACCTCCAAATGGTGCCACGTGTACAGGTGCATAGTTTTGCTGTTTAGCTTTTTTAAAAATTTTGTTTTTAATTAATAATTAAGTAATTTTGTGGTACTAGGGATTGAACCCAGGGGTACTCTACCACTGAGCTACACCCCAGCCCTTTTTATTTTTATTTTTGAGGCAGGGACTTGCTAAGTTGCTGAGGCTGGCCTTGAACTTGCAATCTTCCTGCCTCCGCCTCCCAAATTGCTGGGATCACAAGTGTGTACCACTGTGTATGGCTGTTGTTCAGATTTTAAAACAGTCACCCATCAGAATTACCCGGGGGACTTGTAAAAGTGAGAAAAGGCCCCAATCTCTCTTTGGGGGATTCCAACTTCCCTAGAAAGTTCTGGTGTGTAGGAAGCAGTGCTCGGTAGCTTGCTCTGTGGATTTTGTTTCAGGAAGTCTACTCTGTGTGTCACAGAAGCATTTGGGCTCTGGTCCAACCTTGCTGTGCTTCCGTGTGGTTACACAGATGTGTGCCTGGGGTCAAGCTGCCCAGAGCCAGAGGCACACCCCGACACACACAGGTACAGAAAATGGTGAAGTCCAGGCAGGGGCTCTGGTCTCACCCCAGGGTTGTTTCCTACGGTTGTTACCGTGGCACAGATGACACACGTGTCACCACTGGGGGATGCTGGGGAATGGTTCACAGGACTCAATGTGCTGTTTTTCTGCAACTTTCTGTGAATCTGTAATTATTTAAAACATGTGTCAGGGCTCAACCAGAGAGGCAAAACCAGTTGGGGGCATGCATGTGTACGTGTGTGTGTGTGTGTGTGTGTGTGAGAGAGAGAGAGAGAGAGAGAGAGAGAGAGAACTCTAAAGCCACAAGGGATTTATTTCAAGCAACTGCCCACACAGTTGTGGGCTGCTGCGCAGGTGTGGAGTCTGTGGATGGGTGGGGAAGGCATAGCAGTCTGGGCCTGCAGGCAGGAGCTGTTTGGAGGCAGGCTGGGGGGCACACAGACCTCTGAAGGGACCACCCGGGATAATCTCTCCTTTGGTGGACTGGGGTGGACCAGTGAGGACTTTAATCCTGTTTGCAAAATCCCTTTCCATCCCAGGCATCCCAGAAGTAGTGAGTGAAAAAGAGGAAACACGGCTTGTGGCCAGCCTGTGGCTTGGAGAGAAAGCATGGGCATGTTCAGAATGTCAGACCCTCCAGGAAAGTTCATCATTTTCACCCCGGTTTCTGGGAAAGGCTTCCAGCGCACATACGTGCACATCTACGTTTATTTGTGCATTTTTGGCACTTAATATTATTGTGATACTTTTCTCATATCATCCCTTAGATAACTACTACTTTTTTGTGTGATTCTAGGCATGGAATCGAGGGCCCTGTGTGTGCCAGGCAACTGCTCTTCCATGTGATATGGAAGTTCCATAGCTTAGCTTTTGAAAAATGGAGTATTCTTTGTACTAAATATTCTTTGATACAATTCAAAGTTGATAGGCTTGCATAAATATCAAACCCATAGAAGTCATTTTAGTCCCTTGATTGGCACATATGAGATTGTTGGAGGCTGAATCTGGCTGCAGTGATCAGATAGTCAGTGTCTCCTGGAGGGTGAGGCAGCTCAGCGGCAGAGCACTTGCCTAGCACACACCTGGCCCTGAGTTCCATTCCCAGCACTGCAAAAAAGGAAGGAAAAATTACCTGGTTCCTTTAAAAAAAAAAAAAAAAAAAAATATATATATATATATTTAGTTGTTGATGGACCTTTATTTGTTTATCTTTCTGTCTGTCTATCTATGTATCTATGGTGCTGAGGACTGAACCCAGTGCTTCATATGTGCTAGGCAAGGGCTGTGCCACTGAGCCACAACCCCAGCCCTACCCGGTTCCTTTTGATACCTGACCGGTGGATAATTCATCATGGTTTGGTGGGTTACTTTAGGTGTTACCAAAGAACAAGTAGAATGATCGAAAGATAATAATACCTTTTAATGATGTTCCATCTTGGAAAACCAGCTGTGGTCCTGTGACAGACTGGGGGCCTACTGAGGTGCTGTTTTTGTACCTGAGGCGGGTGGTTCAGTCATATGGCTGTGACGCCAGGCTGATTTCATGTGTGCCAATCACAGATGAACAGTCTTTTTTCCCAGGAAAGGATGTTTTATTCACTGGTAGTATGACTTTGTATTTTTAGTGCTAGTTCTTTTTGCTTCCCAACAGATCACAGCAAGGCATACTTTAGAAAATTTCTTGTGACCATAAAGTGCTAAGGGTTGAAAAATCAATGATTGAAAATACAAATGAGATTGTGCCTCAGGAGTCAGTTGCACGCCTGTAGTGCTTCCTCCAGGGTGTTGCTGGCTCTGGTGGCTTCTGGGTTGTGGCCATTGACCTTTCCTAGAATCTTTTTTCTTCAGAGCACAGCCCAAGGCCCCGTGGCTGTGGCCTGTGTGCTTTCTAGGAGAGCCCGCAGCTAGCACACACTGTGTGTCTTTTGGCCACCTGATGCGACGGCTGCCCCTGGCTCCCTGGAGCTGGTGTGTGCAGTGACACTGGTCTACATCGACATCAGCTGGAACGGGTCGGGAAAGGCAGGCTGGTTTTCACAGTGTGACACTCATGCTGGACAACTCGCGGTGCCAACTCGCGGTGCCTCCGCCTGTTGTGCACAGACTATTTAAGTGCCCTCTGCCCAGCTGTCCCGCAGAATGTACCTGTGAGTTAGGAAGGTAAACTCTCAGTTAAGAAGCTCCCTTTGAGTTTATTCTTAGCTAGTGCAAATTAATTGATGCCTGCCTGGGACCACCTCCTTCCCTCCCTCTTCCCTCGAGCAGGCACTGGGAGCTGACTGTATTGAATGACTCTGATGTGCTGACAATGAATGTTGTTGTTTTAAGGTCTTCTTTTTCTTGTGATTCTTTTGTTCCGTAGCGTCGTCCCCCAGACTACAGTAATACTCAACAATGATCGGCAGAACGCCATTGTAGCCAAGATGGAAGACCCCTTGAGCAACAGGGCACCGGATTCCCTGGAAAATATCATTAGCAAGTCAGTAGCCACGCACCACCCCACCTTTCCCTGCCTCTGTGATGAGAATAAGTCAATGTCCCCAGCCAGGGCACGGTTGAAATATGTGGTCCTTCTCTGTTCACGGGTGATCCTGGCAGGCACAACTTGGTTCTGTGCAGTCAGGAGGGCCAGTACAGCGCTCAGTGTGGGAGTGGGGGTAGGCCAAGAGACCACACCCTGATTCACAGCCACACAGTGAGGGGCCAAGGGACGTCTATGTTGGAGCTGATGCGTGATGGAGGGGGATGGCAGTGTGTTTTCACAGTGGTCAGTTGGTCATTCTGTCTGTCCCTATAAGCAGCATGTCAGGCAACCAGACACCTCTCTTGAGTTGGCTGAATGAGATGGGTATGTTGAGTTTCTGGCTTTTTCTTGCACCCTTTTCTTTTGAGACACATTGAGTGGAAGTATGGTGGAGTGGGAGTGGACAGAGAGCACTGGTGCCCACCCAGGGGCGGCTGGAGCCACCACAGGTGCCCTCTGCCCAATGCTCTGAGCTGTGCACATCCCTGTGAGGGTCATTGTTGCTTTTCGTTTCCATCTGTGTCTTCACAACGTTCTGTTTTGCTTTTTCTCAGTCTCTTCTGCAGATTGTTGCTCCTCTAGGTTTGTCCCGGTTCCTCGTTGTCTTGGTCCAGCCCTGTAGGAAGCAGCTGCAGTCTCTGGGTGGGTGGTGGGGTGCCCCAAGGCCAGCCAGGCTGCTGGGCCGAGTCCAGCCGGTCGGTCTGAGTGGAGGAGCCACTTTAGGAAGCGTGATGGGCAGCTCCCCCCTCCGAGGACAGCTAGGACCTTAAACGCCTTTTTTGACTTTGTAACAGGGAACTAGTGCTTCCTTTTCCTCTGGGTGCTGAGCAGGCCACGGTCAGGGATGATGACCATTTAGAAGGCAGGTCATCAGTAGTCCTTAGAGTGCTCTCTGCAGCTGGCCCTGCTGTGTTGGCAGGACTTCATTGCTGCATGCCACCAGCCCTTGTGATGAGAGTAGCTCTCAGGGAACTCCTGGGATTCGAAACTGGCCTTAGAAACCCACACCATGGTTTGTCCGTGGGAATAACTGGGAGTGTGATTGCGGTTTTGGAGGCTGAGTCACCTCTCAGATGTCTGAGCGGAGGGATGGGCTATCTGGAGCTCTGGGCTCCCTTCCTCTTCATTTTGTCTTTCCTCCAACACAGCCCTAAAAATGACTCTTACTCAAGCCAGCATTTCATAGCATAGCCTCTCCACCCAGAAAGCCGCGTTCCAGGCCCAGGTCACAGTGAGTCTCGATCCACCTCTCTTGTGGTGTAAATATTTTCTTTAAACCTTCATTTTATTTCGTACCATTTCTTTCAGCCCCAGACTGTTTCTCCATTAAATTGCTATTAGTCTTCGTAGAAAAGCTGTGTGGGGAGACATTGGTCCATTGGTCCATGCTCAGTCAGATGCTGTGGTCACCGGGAAGAGGACTGTCCAGTGAGTCAGGGCTGACCTCGGCGTGTTGCCCAAGTCACTCTCACCACAGGCTGCTGTGCTTGCTTCCCGCCAGCGCTGTTCCCGGGCGGCGGCAGAACACCATCGTGGTGAAGGTGCCGGGACAGGACGACAGCCACTATGAGGACGGGGAGAGCGGCTCGGAGGCCAGCGACTCTGTGTCCAGCTGCGGCCAGCCGGGGAGCCAGAGCATCGGGAGCAACGTCACCCTCATCACCTTGAACTCGGAAGGTGTGTCCCTAGGGCTGCTTTTCTGCTTGGCCAGCACAGTGATTGTGACAGCCTTGTTTTCATCATTTTAGGAAAGAAGTACACACTTATTGTCTTTAAGAAAAGTGAAATGATGTAGAAATAAAGGTGAAGTGCAATAGCTTGGAACTGGGTGGTGGTGCACGCTCCAGGAGGCCGCGGAGGCTGAGGCAGAGGGATGACAGTTCAGAAGTCTGCGAGGCCCTAAACAGCTCGGTGGGAGCCTGCTCAAATAACAGTACACGGCCTGGGATGTGCTGCATGGTCAGGTGCCCCTGGGCTCTGTCCCTGGTGTGGGGTCCTTCTGTGTCCGCGTGTACACCTGATGACTTTGCAGCTCACCTTTCACTGTTTTCTAGAGTAGGCTCTTTCCACGTTGATACAGACGTCACTTCCAGGTCATGCATTTAGCAACTTTCTGATGCTCCCTGCTGGTGGCAGTCCTGTCCTGTTCTTGTTCCTTGGCAGCCGCAGGCTCGCACTCTCTGCACCGCAGCTGGACGTGGACCCCGAGGTGCTGGGCTGAGAGATGCTGTTTGTTCTAGTTATGGCACACGCTGCCGCTCCTGACCGGGGTCTGCACGGACGGGTGGGAAGGCTGGTAGCTGGGTCTGTCTGTGTTCCCTGGACTCCTGCCCAGGGCTTCTGGGAGCCCCAAGGTGGGGATGGTCCTTCTCTCCTGAGGGGTCCGAGGTACCCTCTTGCCTGTCTCTTGGCCTGTGGAAACAGCCCCATGTGCCTTTGAAAGGCTTCATGTCACCTGGAGTCCTCATGTGCTCTTGTGACTAACTTTGTAGCCACCATAAGTGACATTGTTACCACAGCATGAACAACATGCACAAAGCCCTAGATTTGACCCCAGCACTGCAGCAGAACAACACAGAGCGACAACACGGGGAGAACGGCAAGAACCAGGCCGACTCCGCTGTGTCTGCAGAGCTCTGAGGCTGGGTTTCATTTACCAGGGAGGTTTTCCTGCTTCCCCATCTCAGTTATTGGTTTTTTCCTATAAACAGGATGTAGGTTTGTCAGCTTAACAAAGAGTTTTCTGTTAGAGAAACTGGTTACCGTGGCTGAAAACACTCGATTAAATGTTTTTTCAGAAATTGCTTTTACTTCTACTAAATTGCTAGGAGTTAGATGGCAGAACAGTGAGGAAAAAAGAGGTAACCTTTTAAAAAAAGCTTGTATACCATAAAGTCGACTGTGTTAAAGCATCCATTTCAGTGGTTGTGACACTTGCTCTGGAATGCCCCCCACGGGCACCTGTGGAAGTCTTGGTTGGGGTCTGCAGTGTTATTGGGAGGTGTGGAGCCTTTAAGAGGAGGGGCCTAGTGGGAGGATGTTAGGTCATGGGGTATGCCCACGAAAGGACTGGGCTCTCTTTGCTTCCTGGAGGGCCACCCTGAGGTGAGCCGGCCTCCTCTGCCTGTGCTCTCTCCATGACATGCTGTGCTATCTCAGGACCAAAGCCAAGGGGCCAGGTGACCATGGACTAAACCCTTTGAAACCCTGAGCCAGAATAAATCTTTCCTCCTCAGTTGTCTTACCTTGTGTACGTGTGACAGGGACAGAGGTGGCTGATTTCATGGTGGCTAGTGTATTCATAAGGATACAACCATCACCTTTATCTAATTCTAGAACTGTTTTTTGTGGGGTGGGTGCCAGGGATTGAACTCGGGGGCACTCGACCACTGAGCCACCCCTCAGCCCTATTTTGTATTTTATTTAGAGATGGTCTCACTGAATTGCTTAGCGCCTTGCTTTTGCTGAGGCTGGCTTTGAACTCCATCCTCCTGCCTCAGCCTCCTAGTTGCTGGGATTATAGGCATGTGCCACCGGTCCCAGCTAGAATGTTTTTATCTCTGAAAGAAACCCTCCCCCTGTAGCAGTGACTCCCCTTCCACCCTCGCCCTTCCAGCTCACCTCTGTCTCAAGGGGCTTGCCTGCTGTGTACATTTCACTAAATGGACTCCCTGTCCAGGTGGTGGCCTGCAGCAGTAGCTGCATAGTATTGTAGCATTCGTAGCTGAATAGCATTGTCCTTTGTCAGTTGATGGGCATTTGAGTTACTTCCACTTTGTGGCTGCTATAAATTATGCTTTACGTATTTACATATGGGTGAACCGCCAGGTGAGGGCAACTGGCTCCTTTACACCAAGTGTGAGGAGAAGAGGGTGCAGCCGATTCCCTCCTCGTGGAACCCTGTGAGGCTCACTGCAGGACCGCAGGGGAGATGGGTTGCTCTCCTCCTCCACGTGGATTTTGCGCAGTTGGTCTGGTTAGCCACGTAGGCCTTGGGTTCAGTTAGTGTAAACCACTCCAGCTAAAGAGCAAAACATCCCTGGGAGTCTTGAAAACAAAAATTCCCCCTTACAAACTTTTGTCTGAGTGTGGTTGGTCAGCGTCACACGTGTCTGCTGGGGAAGCGCTGCCTGGCGCTGAGAGGAAGGTGGGGAGCACTGGTGTCTGGACAGGTGCTGTTCACCTCCTAGGGAAAGCGCGGGTTTCTTTACGTCTGAGTTCAGGTTCTTTAAATACGAGATGCCACTCCATGTAAGACATATGTCTTTATTTGATTTTTTATTTTTAAGACATGCTTCTTAGCAGAGGCTTTGAGCACAGTGTTAAGACCACGTGGAAAGCTGACTGTTTCTGCCACAGGGATCTTGAGCTGTAGCACAGGGTGTTAGGATCAGACTAGAGACATTTTTCCAGTTTAAGATTTTACTTTGTTTTGAAGAAAGGTCAGAGTTCAGATAGTTCCACCTTCTCAGCCATCACAAGAGGACACGGATGGGTCTGTTGCTGCTCTCTGGGGGATGGACACGCCCGCAGCATGTCATGTCCGGAAGGACACGTCTGCAGCATGTCCTGTTGGGAACTCGGCTAGCTGAGCCGCCATGTTGGTTCAGTGGTTTGGTGAAGGCTGTTTGGAGACGGAGGGTCCTCTTTAAGTGATTGCTGTGTCTGTAAATCCTGGAAGAGCAGCCAGTCCTGAAGGTCTCTTTCATCAACTCACTGTTGAGGGCAGTGGCGTCCCTGACCTTCGGTAGGACTTGTGCGTGCTGGGACACAGATTAGCTGCCCAGTACGGGTGCTGCCCTGGCTGGAGCAGCTGCCGGGCAGGGAGCATCAGGGCAGCAGGTGCCTGTTGGAGAAGCAGTACACATGCGGGGTGCTCTTGGGTAGTAGGCTTGTCTTTGGAGTGTTTCTGTGGTCCCTGGTAAGAGCCAAGAGCTACAAGTGTACAGATTGTTTTTGTCGTCTTGTGTAAATATTTAAGTGTCTGAAGTCTACAGAATCATGAATTTCAAAGCAGTTTTCTTTTTTTAATTTTTAGTTGTAGATGGACACAATACCTTTATTTTATTTATTTTTATGTGGTGCTGAGGATCGAACCCAGTGCCTCACAGATGCTAGGCAAGTGCTCTACCACTGAGCTACAGCCCCAACCCCTCAAAGCAGTGTTTACTTAAGAATTCCAAATGCCATTTTACATCAGGCTTGGAGTCAGTTTATTATACTGCAAAGGTGACAGCTCAAGTTTTATCCTACTTTTTTAACTTTTGTTGATGATGTAAACTTCATTTGAATGAGAAAAAAGGTAACTCTTAATTGTTCAAAGCACTGACCACTAAACTCAGTTCTTGAGTTTATCTTCCACTGGTGGTTTGGGTCCTGGTGCACTCCTGTCATTGAGCACTGGAAGTGTGGGCAGATGGAGTTAGAGAAGCAAATTAGCTAAAATGCACAAAATTAAGGAATTCAGTTAGGTTTCTAATAAAGCACTTTAATTCCCGCAGTGGAGGCATTTAATAATTCCTGGAAAACTTGACTCATCCTGCATATCAAAGTTGGGTGCCGACTGTACTTTGGTGACTTCTTGTCTCCGTCGGGTTCTGAGTGCTCTGGAGCCAGCATGGCGGCCTCTGGCACTGTGATGTGCTGAGCAAGGGCAGCCAGGCAGAGGCTGGGAATCTTCTTTTTCAGAGGCCATCAGTCAGGAGAGCTGGCAGACATGTCCTGCAGGATGTTGTTGGCGCTGTGCACTGCCAAGTCAGATTAATAACAATTTGCTGTGTTTACAAAATGTCAGCCATACATATGCAAAGGAGGAAATTTTGCCAAAAACATTCTTTGAACATTTATCTTACATGTATTTTAGCATAAATTGTTATACATGAGCACATTTTCATGGGATCATGAATCGGCCTCTGAGAAGAGTGACATGGTCAGTCTGGTGACCTAAGGGAACAGAGTTACTCCAGACAGACTGGCCTGGGATGTGAGTGGTCTCAAGCCCAGCATGTTGCCTCTGTTTCTGCTGTGCCAGGGGTGGCAGGACATGCAGCCTGGGACACTGGGCCTAGTCATGAGCATGCGGCACGTTTTGCTTAGTAGGTAGGAGTTCACCAGTGGCCTCCAAGGAAGGTAGGAGGCAGGTGTGGCAGGATGCACATCATGCTTCAGACTTTGACCTCATTAGCTGTTTGTGTCATTGTGAGCAACCAGGGTATCAGAGGTGTCCAGCCACAGAGAACTGGGCCCATGGCAGGGCCTTGGACCCTCCCTCTGGAGTGACTGCATGACCAAGTCTTTTTAATCAGTGACTAAATAGTGATGTTTGCACATTACTAGTAGTATGTTTACGATAGAATCGTTGGTTGGTTTACAATTACCCTCTCAAAAAAAAAAAGAAAGAAAAGAAAAGAAAAAAAGTAGCCCATGGTGGAGGGGTAAGTAAAGAAAAGAAGGCATTTTGAGAGAAAATGGTAGAATATATCCATTTCTAAATTGATGTCTCTGTAATTTGTAGTTTGTGGAGTGTCAATGGAATGGATTTCTAAAATTCTCAAATTCTGTGTCAGATAATCATCAAGTCCCAATAGGATGGTTCTTGTGGTGTCTTCCAGGCCTGGGATCTTCACTCAGTTCAGAGCACGTCCTTCCCTTGCAGTCTTTCTGGCCCACATTCCCATCCCGGATACTTCTTTGATGACCACTGGTTCGCGTGCTCATCAAAGAAGGATGAAGGTCTGTCATGAGCATCTATTGTGACGTGGTAGGGCTCTGGCTGCAGGTGTCCAGCATGGGTGTGCTGTACAAACGTGGCTTCATTGTCAGTGGGTCCTTGGCCCGAGGGTCCTGGCTACCCCAAATCGTGGTACTTTTCATGGAGCAGATAATTGTAAGTAGCATAACAGTAACATTTCGTGGATCACGTGGAAATCTTACGAACCTATCTCCCCTATCCTGGGGGAAGAAGCACACTCTTTGCTGTGAAGGTTAGCCATTGCTGGGCTGGTGCATAGTTGCTCAGGCTAGAAGGCAGTGGGTACTGACTTTGGTTTCCTGATTATCATTTGTTGTCAGAGCATTTCTCCCATCTCAGGCAGTATATTGCTTTTAAGATTTGTGAACAGTTTGGGCAGGCCTTTACAAAGGCCAGAGGAAAGTTAGTTTTTGGTGTGGATGAAAACTATAATCCAGTACTGGCTCATGACAATGAATCTGCTCTGAAAACTTGCCTGCAAGTTGCTGAGACCAGCCTGGAAGAGCTCTCCTGCCTGAAGCTGTCGTGCTGCGGAGGGACTTCAGTCCAGGTCTTTGAGCAGCCCTGAGGCCCTCAGCGGGACACAAAGTAGTGCCCTTTTTTGTTTGTTCACTGTGCTTTGCTGGACAGTGTGGTGTGTGACTACTGACCTCCAGTATGACACAGTGCTGACCACAGGGAGACTCACAAGTAGCTTAGGAAAACTGCAGTCATCGGCTGAGGGCCAGAGGGGTCCTGGGGAGGCAGAGTCATAGGACAGAGCCCACCAGTGTGTCTGAGAAGTGAGAACCTGCTCCCTTGCTCTTGGCTCCTCTGAGCTGTGGGTGGAGGGATGGTCAGTACAGCTGGGGTGCTGGGGCAGGATGGTGGGAGCCACATTGTCTTTGGAAGGACTGAGCGGCAGCTGGCCTGGTTGGGTCCCAGTGGTGTTTGCAGGTATAGCCAATGCCTCGGCTTCTGACAGCACAGGGTGCCGCCACCCCTCCCTGCATGTTCACGGTGGGTCCCTGTGCTCCCAATCTCCAAATATTAAGTGCAGAGATTCTGGGGTCAGTGGTAACACCTCCTGTTTGAAGCTTCGGTTAAGTCCCAGCTCTCTTTCCTTCTCCATCCTTGGGGCAGCCAGCCCTGACTCTCCTGGCTTTGCAACTGGACTGCTGAGCTCGGTGCCTTAGAATTAAGACCTGTGACTGAGCCAGGCCTTAGATGGTGAGCACTGCACCCAGTGGCAGGCACAAGGTTGTCTAAGACATAGTTGCAGATCAGTTAGTAAGTACCCTTGAAGTTGGAGTCTTCAGCATTCCCCCGTGATACCTTGACGACCCGTGCCGGGGACTCCCTGTGCCTCTGAGTCACGTGTCCACTCGAATCTAATAGTGGATGGCTGGTTTTCACCACAGTGCATCGGCACTGTCTGAGCTGGTACCCGTGGCACAGCCTCTCCACTTCTGAACCATCAGTGTCTCTGAGAAATGGTGCTTCTTCTTCGTCTCTTACTCAGTTCTGAAAATCAGAGCTGTTTTCCATCCTTAGCTACATCCAGGGAGCCCAGCCTGAGGTGCCCTGAGCAGTGCTTCTAGCCTGGCTTCATCCCCACCCCAGGGACCATGTTTTCCGTGGACAGGGCTCCCTGCCTGTCCCTGAGGTTCCGTGGCAGTCCTCTGGTTCAGGGAGCTGGGCGAGGCTGTCTGAGAAGAGCAGCAGGCCCGAGGTTCGCACTGGAGTTGGGGTCAGAGGTGGCCAGAGTGTGCGAGCCCTGGGCTCTGGGGATGTTGCTACTGCAGACCTGCCCGATGCATGTCTTCCAAGCTGTCACTCTGCACTCCTCCCTGTGAGATCCCGAGTTAAGAAGTGTGACCACATGGTTGAGGAAAACGCTTGTGGGGAGGAAGGAGCTTTGGCCTGGAGAAGAGGCTAGGGAACCTGCGCTCTGAGCAGGGGCCACACTCGCTGCTGGACCGTCCACAGAGGGAGGCCCAGAGGGAGGCCATGGGAAGGGAGGGGTGGCTGTCTGGAATGCTGGGACAGGACTCAGGTGTCCTGCGGAGATGGCATGTTCCTGGGGGCTCCTGTAGTGCAGATGACAATGGTGCTGGCCTGTCACATCGCCTCTTGTAGAGGCAGGTCACAGTGGAGATGGGTGCACTGAGCTCTCATCTGGGACAAGTGCACTCTGTGGCCATCACACCCACAGTCAAGAGGATGCACAGGAAAAGTGGGTGCCTTGCCAAGCAGCTGCCTCTGCCCATTGCTGCCTGGGTGTGTGGCGAGGCTTAAAGCAGGGGAAAGATGTGAGGCCTGTGTCCCGAAGCTCATTGCACTGCTGGGGTGGAAGAGACTCTGGTGTCTGAGCCCAGAGCTCATTTGACACCCTCTCTGCCCGAGTCGGGATGACCTGGGCCTGTGTGAGTCCTGGACTGCTCCCAAGGGCACTGCAGCGGCTCCAGCTGCTGGCCTACAGCGTGCCACACCTGGTCGTTTGCACAAGCTTTGGGCAGGACCCAGCTGGGTAGCTTTCCAACGAGTTGTCAGCCCTCAGTGCCCTGCCATCACAGAGGTCACAAGGTGGTCTAGCTCCCGAGGAAGCCTGGAGTGCAGGGCAGAGTGTCTTCCCCATGTGGGCTGCCACATTCATCTTTTTGAAATGGAGCAAGCAACCTAGGTCAACTTTGTGGGCATGGTATGACCCTTGCTGTCTTTGTCAGACTGGAGCCCACCCTCTTGCAGCCACAGGGAGGTTGGGGGATTGGCTGTGGGTCAACTTTCCTGAGCCTGTTTGAGCCAAGCACTGGGGCCATCTGGAACGTGAGCACTTATTTGGAGCATGCCCTGAAGCTGGCTCACGGAGGACCCCGTCTCTTTTTCAGAGGATTACCCCAACGGCACCTGGCTGGGCGATGAGAACAATCCTGAGATGAGGGTGCGCTGCGCCATCATCCCCTCTGACATGCTGCACATCAGCACCAACTGCCGAACGGCCGAGAAGATGGCGCTCACGCTGCTGGACTACCTTTTCCACCGTGAGGTACAGGCCGTGTCCAACCTCTCCGGCCAGGGCAAACATGGGAAGAAGCAGCTGGACCCGCTCACCATCTATGGGATCCGCTGTAAGTGGGCCTGTCCCAGTTCCTGCCTGGCTGGGGGGTGGAGAGAGCCGTGGAGGCATCCGGTGAACTGGATTGGGGGCCCACGTGTGCAGTGCTGGAGAGGACGCTGGGCTCAGTGGTCTGTGTCATGTGCTCCTGGGTTGGCCTTCAGAGTGCCCAGCCTGTGTGTCCTGAGCTTAGACACCAGGTGAAGCTCCAGAGGTCTGGGTCCAGGGGAAGCAAGGAGCCTTGAGGCCATGGAGTGTGTGCACAGGCTCTGCCCTGCAGTCCCCAGACTGGTGCTCACTGCGCTTCCATTCCCTTAGCAGCTCCTGCTGGAGTCAGTCTCTTGTAGGGAAGGGGCACGGGCTGTTGATTAGGACCCATCCCATGACTGCTGGCCCCTTGCTGGCCTCTGTGCCTCAGCTTCCTCAGGTGACTGGGAGAAACTTGGCAGAGCTGCTGTGGGCTCTGTCAGTACATGTGGCCCTCTACGCCTGTGAAGCCACTGGGAAGGGGCAGTGCGTGCTCAGGTCCCTCTGCTGGGTGCAGCCCTCAGGATGAGTGGGAGTCCATCTGGCCCACCTGTGTCAGCGAGGCCTTTGCAAGTTAGGCACCACTGTGTGTTCAGGTGGACCCTGAAACATTTCAAGTGCTCATTTGCCTTTTCTCCCTGTGCTTGCTTTGATACTTATTGCTGATTGCTCCTCACAACACAACACAGAACAAATACATGGACATAGGCCCACCTCCTGAGGCCTCAGCTCAGCTACTGATGAAGAGCAGACCAGCATTGTCACCCCTGCCTCCCTCTATTGCTCCTTCAGAGTCTGCCGTGACATCCACAGCTTCAAGGCTACAGCCACAACCATCCCAGTTAGGGAAGACTTTTTTCTCCTTCCTGTTTGTGGACAGAAATATTTTCCCCTATTGGGCTCAGTGGTGCATGCTTATGCGCCTCCCAGGGGCTTGGGAGGCTGAGGCAGGAGGATCACAAGTTCAAAGCCAGACTCAGCAATTTAGCGAGGCCTTAAGTAACTCAGACTCTGTCTCTAAATAAAATACAAAATAGGGCTGGCGATGTGGCTCAGTGGTTTGAGTGCTCCTGAGTTCAAACTCTGGTACCCGCTCCCCACCACCCCCCAAAAAGAAAAAAAATATCCCCCCCCCAAAATCTGCATTTTGAAACACATGGTAGGTCACATCTCTAAGTACTGTCTTTGTGAAATGAGGGGACATGTTTATTTGAAAGGGGGACTTGCTTTCTGGGATGTTGGCTTTTTGAGGGCTCCCAAGGATCAATGGGCCTCCCAGAATTCAGGCAGATAACGAAATAGTTTGTGCTCCATCAAAAGTAGCACATTCTCGTAACTTTGGAAAACGTGGAACATTCTTTTAAAGAGTGTGTCTTGTTGTTTGAATTGAGAGCGCAGGAGCGGTTCTTACAGCTTTTCCTATCGGTGATATAAGCCTCTGCTTGAACTATGCAGAAGAGCAAGTCCTAACCTGCAAGTTGCCAGAAATGAATTGAAACACAATCAGCCTGACACCCCCACCCTTGGGGACATCTGTGAGGAAGGCTGGTATGGATGAGGGACCCCTGAGATCTCCTGGTGCTTGGTGGGAGTTTGCTTGGTTGGCACAAAGTCCCACACTCCCAGGTGACCTGCAGACGGCTACAGTCCCCCCTTTCAGCAGGCAGTCTCCTGGCAGAAGACACAGGCACGCTTACCTTGGGGAGCCATCTGTCTACCCCACCTGGGGCACCCTGCAGGGTGTGTTGGGGTCCTGGGACTGCTGCAAAGAGCCCTGCAGACTTGGGGCTGGAGACCCAGGGGTTGGTTCTCTGATGGGTCTGGAGGCCGTGTGTCCAAGGTCCATTCTTGGCAGGCTGTACCTCCTCTGCTGGGGCTTTCTCTCTCCTGGCTTCTGTTGGTGGCTGACGCTTCCTGGTACTCCCGCCTCGTGGCAGCCTGGCCCCAGCCCTGCCGCCTTGCCCCAGGGCCTGTTTCCAGTGTTTTCCGCTGTCTTTTTCTCCTCTCCTTATAAGGACACCAGTTACACTGACTGGTGTGACCTCATTTTCACTTAATGAATCACATCTGCACAGACCCTGGTTCCCAGTGAGGTCACACTCAGAGCTCCTGGGAAGGACGAGAACTCGAGGGGATGCTGCTCGACCTATCGCACAGGATGTGGGTTCTTCTGAACTTGCTGGTTGGGTGCTGTCTCTTCTCCACTGCTATGGTGACAGGGGAGGCTGCCCATGTGTGCCTTGGGGTCAGGACATGGCTGTGCACAGGTGCTCCCATTGGTCCATCCCTGCTCAGCATGGCAGGGCACAATGAGTACCCCAGTTTGACCTAGAGCTGGCATAGGTCAGGTCCCTGTGACTGATGGAGACCAGCAGAAGACCCCTCATTGGCAGGGACCTGGACGCTGTGCCTTCAGGCACCAGAGAGCAGCACCAGGGCTCGGCAAGCTGAGGAGCCTTATCTTTTTCTTACCCATGTGTGCGATCGTGGTAGTGGGACACCCACCGGCTGGGCTTTGTGAGGGAGGCTCTGGATATTGAGGGCCTGGGCCTGCGCCTGCCTGGAGTGTCACCATGAGGACACATGGCCCAGTTCCTGTTGCTTTTCTGAGCCAGCTGCTATCTAGTTAGGTCTGTAATTTCAAGAAATAAGTTGCTGACACTCCGTTTCCCGCTTTGCATTCTCCTGAACTTGAGATTCTGTTAACAGGGATCATGTTTATCATTCCTTCATGCCTGATAAATTGAGTGTGCCACCCACCGAGGACAGGAGACTGAGCTCTGCTTGTGTGTTACCTCTGCCCTGTCCCCCCACAGCTCCTCTCAGGTCCACTATGAGCCAGGCTGGCCAGGGAGAGCTGGAAATCTGGTTTTGTGATTTGAACACATGTCCACAGTAGGAGTTCTGGAGGGTGGGGAGGCAGTTACATGGTGGGGAGTGTTTTCTGCCCCAGGGTAGACTGCCTGGCAGCTTGCAAGGGCAGGGTGAGAGCTGGCTGGGGCCGCCCCTGAGCCCAGTGGACAGGTGTGGCTCCGGCCAGTGGCAAGGGTGCACCACCTTGCTTTCCAGGGAGCTGAGTGCGGCTCTGTGGGTAGCAGGTGCCCGAGGGCCGGTGCCAGCAACTTCTGCTCTTTGTTTCTTCTGCCTGCTGTCTCCCCAGTGCACTGAGGCAGCGGTGGGGCAGCCTGAGCAGAGCAGCAGCTTGGTGGCCTGTCCTCCCTGAGCATCTTGCTGGGGCCTGGGCTGTGCTGAGGGCCACAGTGGAGGCCCCCCCGAGGTGGCACTGGAAGGCAGGATTGTAAGGCCATTGCGCACTCCTGCCTGGTGTTTGACTTGGACATGAAGGTGAATACTCTTTTTCCTTGAGGTTGTCAAACATGAATCAGACAATAAGGTAGTTGGTTAGTGGTGGGTTCTTTGGTGGCTGTGGTCTGCAGTGGGTCCTTGTCACTGCAGTGGTCACTGTCTGCTTGGTGTCCTGACTTGGTGAGGCTTTGTCCTGCAGTAAAGCCATATGCAGCACACTGTGATCACTCAGTAGGTATTTATTGAGTGATGATTCTGTGATTTCTTTAGAGGTGACCTGAAAGTCAAAGACCCAGAATTTGCTGCTTAATTTACAAATACTCTTTTCTGTAAGATGATGAGTGTTGCTCCCATGCTTTTGGTTGCTCTTCTGATGCTGGGGTCCTGCCCCATTTTCATCCGGTTTCTTTTTATCTAGTCACAGAGTTTGGTTGCCATTCATTTCTGCCCTAAGGACACGCTCATATAAAAAGCCAAGAGCTCTTCTCAAAACCACCACCACCACCACCACAACAACCACAACCACCACCACCACCACAATCACCAACATCACCACCACCACCACCACCACCACCACAATCACCACCACAACAACCACAACCACCACCACAACAACAACTACCACCACCACCACCACCACAATCACCAACATCACCACCACCACAACCACCACCACCACAACCACAACCACCACCACCACAATCACCACCACAACAACCACAACCACCACCACCACAACAAAACCACCACCACCACCACCACAATCACCACCACAACAACCACCACCACAACAACAGCAGCAAACCTTCTGATACTTAATACAGTACTTTAAAAACCAAACACTTCCTTTGTTTTGATTAGTTCTGGTGTTTTGCTCCCCACAGGAGCAGGTGTGTGGGGACAGGGCAGTAGTTAACTCTCAGTGGATGGTTCAAACCCAGGGCTCTTGGTTCTCAAAACAGTATTTCAGTGTGAGCGTCTGACCATGACAGTTCTCAGTTTCATCTGTTCCCTTGGAGTGGATGGCCAGCAGAGAGGAACCTGCTGAAGGACAGAGGCCTCATGATCCCCACGTTGCCACTGGGTACAGGAAGGGCCTTCTAGACCCTTAGTCTCCTCGTAGCTGGCTGGGAGCTCCTCTGGATGCCCATCAGCGATGCTCTGAGAGCTGTCTGTGGAAGAGTGACCGGCCACATGGGTGCCCGTGGGCACTTTGCTCTGCCAAGATGCTCTTCAGGAAGGTGCACGCCCACCTGCCCCATCCCTGCTTCACGTTGGAGTGTAGGTAGTGCCCTTCTTCCAGGTGTGCAGGGGTGCCAGGGCAGAAGCACTGCACAACACAGTCCTGTCCTAGAGGTGTTGTGTTCAAGGAGAAAGGTGAAAAGGTGTGGGAGTCCATTAGCGAGTGTCAGAGCTGAGGGCGCTGGAAGGGTGCCGGAAGGGTGCCGGAAGAGAGCCTTAGACTGCTGTGATCTCCCTGTGTCGATGGGATAGCTGGGCATGTGCTGTGTGCCAGGACAGTCTGGTTTGCTGGCATGCACAAGGAGACAAATTTCATCTCCAGTGTGTGTGAGGGTGGTGCAGCAGGGGCTGAGGGCAGGTGGGACTGTTGGGGGTCGGGCTCCATAGGGCTGGGGTAGCTGAGAGGGCAGAGGAGTAACAAGTGCAGTTTTGGAAAACCAGATCTGACTGCATTGTTGGGATCCTGATTTGATTCTCTTGGCATTTGGGACATGAGATACTGTTCATGATTTGGGGGCAGACGGGGGATGGGACTGCAGCAAGCCTGACACCTCTTTCACCCAGCATGCAGTTGGGCCAGATCCTTTATAAGTTAAGTGGATTGGAAGGAGGTATAACTAGGTGAGCCTGCACCTGGTCTTGGAAGGCCACTTATCCCCTGACTCTTCTCTGGTGACACGTGCTTTCTGGCTCATTTTTCTGGAGGGTTGGGTCAGCCTTTGGCAGCTGAGCTCTGGCAGCTGGCCACTTCAGTGTTCAGGTCACTCCCAGACAGCAGGGCCATGGAGGAAGGCTGCACCTCACTGCTCTCTTTGGGATGTGTTCTTCCAGGTCACCTTTTCTATAAATTTGGAATCACGGAGTCTGACTGGTATCGAATCAAACAGAGCATTGACTCCAAATGCCGGACAGCATGGCGGCGAAAACAGCGAGGCCAGAGCCTGGCGGTCAAGAGCTTCTCGCGCAGGACTCCGTCCTCGTCCTCGTACAGTGCCTCAGGTAGGCCCTGTGGCAGGCGGTGCAAGTGGAGCCTTGGGGCTCAGTGCAGGGGGAGGCCTCCCCCTAGCTGAGTCTGCAGTGGCCCCGGGACCCTTCCCTCTGGGTCCATGAGTGAGCGTGGTGAGGCTGAGAGAGCGCAGTAGCCCTGTCCGGCTTATCTCACCAAGGAACACCCTGGCCCTCGGCTCTGAGTCCCTGTGGGCTCCGGAGCAGAGGGAGGGTTTGCTCAGACCCTCCTCTCCTGCTGCCGTGGAGCTCCTGAGCGTCCGGCTGACTTAACAACACAAGCAACACTATCGTTGGGGGAGTACCAAATTGTTTTTCTCTTTTTTTCTGATTTCGAGTTTACGGACCCAGACTTCTCCAAACAGTCGCGCAGTCTCGCCTCCCCGCAGGCGTTGCTGGAGAGGGGCTTTCCCTGGAAGAGCGCTCTGCAGCCACGCTGTGCGACTTTGCCTTTCTGTTGCCTTTCCCCTGAGACACCTCAAAACACTTATAAAGTATTTGAATTAAAAAATTTTCCTAGACTCCCCACAGCAGCTTCCTTGCAGGAGCTCTAGGAACCTGAGGGCTCGGCAGTGGACGGGGTGGCCCTCCCAAGTGCTTCCTTGATTGGAGACGCTCTTCTCGGAGCTGCGGAGCACATCGCCTGGAGCTGTGTGCACACCCTTGGGGAAGCAGCCTCCTCCTGGCTGTTTTGGGGGGTCGTCAGACCTCAGCCTTGGCTATTGCCCAGGTCCTTGAGATGGATGTGGCTGCTGTGTAGGCCACACAAGCCATATCTGGGCAGTGCTCTTGTGAGTGGCTGCAGGAAGAAGCTGTGAAGGGGGAATCAGGCCTTGCTGCCCTGGCTAGGAGTCCTTCACGGGAGCTCTGCGGGACCTGGAGAACTGTGCTGGTGTCCTTCTGCACAGGACAGAGAGGGTGCCTGTTGTATGGACACAGCAGCGGGAGTCATGGCTCCAGGCAGGGACGGGATCCTGTCAATGGGCGGCAGGTGTGGAAGCTGCGGTCACCTGTGTTCCCACTTTGTTCCACGTGTGGAGGCGTGGAGAAGGCGTTGGAATCTGTGTGTGCTTATCTTGGTAGTGGCTGTCTCTATCTAGCGGGGTTACGGTTTTTATTTCATTTATGTCTTTGTGTTTGACTCTGGTTTCCACATTATTTCCAGTGAACACTGTATTAATTTTATAGTTTTTAAAATGCTGTTTAATTCAAGGGGTGGAGATTTCTGCTTTTAGTGACCATGCAGTAGCAGGGCCAGAGTGAAGTCTCCTATAGACACCTGGACAGGATCTGAGAAGCTGCTTTGTGGACGTTGGGCAACAGGTGGCCAGGCCTGTGCTCCCTGAAAGAAGGAAGTGGGACCTGCCCCGACTCCGAACCCCTCTGGAGTGTGAAGCAGTGAGGATTGTCAAGTGTAGCCCACAGCCGGGCTGGGGCTGTGAGGGGCTGAGGCAGTGAGAGCTGTGGGGAGAGGGCAGGCTCCCTGTTGCCTGTGTGAGTCCTAGAGGCACTTGCCCAGAGGGAGGTTCCTAAGTTCACCTGGGCTGAGAGGCGTCCGGTTCCCACAAGACAGAATGCAGAACCCTCTGTGACAAGTCCAGCTTCTAGCAGGGGCACCAGAAGGCCTTGCCTGCTCAGGCTGAACTGTCCCCAGAGAAAAGTTGCCACAGTCCAGACACCTGACATGGAAAAAGGCACAAGGCCCCAAATCCAATCAAAAGAACCAGAGGGAAGGAGACTGAGACCAGCAAAACCAGGGTCAGGGAGACTAATCTAAAGGAGCAGACCCGGCACGAACACGTCTATTAAAGCTCTTTAAGGGGGAGCAGGAATGTAGTGGAAGTAAAGAAATAGAAGATACACAGCGCCAAGTGGACTCTGGATGTGGACCACGCGGGCAGGGGTTTCCAGGGCACAGTGCCATTCTTGATTTCACTCATGTCATTTGGTAGGACTGGACCCAAGTTAAATTCCCAGTCGGGGACAGTCTCCTCACAAATCTGAAAACTACTGGATGTGGTGTCCTGCATTACTAGGGCACTGAAGATCCTGGGGTGTGTCCGAGGAGGAGAAACGCGTCACCACAGGGACGGGCAGCAGGGCCTCCTCGCCCAAGGCTGGACTCCTTGTTCTGTGCTCAGGCGCCTCAGCTCCCTGAGTGCTGCTGTGGCAGGGGCACCTTGCACATTAAGGTACTGCTGCCTCTGGGCTAGCCTGCCCCTGTCACAGAATGTTTTGGAGCCTTTGAAAGGACTGTTCAGAGCAGGCTTTGTGGTAGTGCTGGGATGTGAGGCCATTGTCTTTGGAAGCTAAAGGGTTTGAAATTGAGACCTCAGGGTGTGATTGTGCCTGGAGAAGTGGCCCTGGATGAACTGGGCTGCCTTGGGTGGGATGCTGAGAGGGGCACAGCACCAGCAGGCGTGGGAGGCAGACGCAGCCCAGCTGGGTTTGTTCATCGTGGGGCCTCACGGCCAGCACCCCATTCCTATTCTTCATGAATGTTTTCCTAACGTGTTCTGTAGACCTTTCCAGCCATCAGGTGGATGGCTTTGGGACTTAGTGCTCAGGTGGACTAGGTGTGGGACCGGCCTTCTGCAAGCTCCACTTGCAGGTGGACCACTTTGGAAAAACCTTGCATTCAGATTCTGATTCAGATACCACGGCGGTGACCTGAAATTCTGTTTCTCACCAGCTCCCAAGTGACAACCACACCACCAGCCATGCTCATCCTTGAGCCAGGCTGTGCATTGGAATGGGTAGGGTCTTGGGCACGTTGACCTTCAGGTCCACTGCTGACTTTGCAGGTGGAAATTGAGATGCCTTTCTCTCAAGCTCAGGTGGTCTGTGATTCTTCTTGTCTTACCGTTTTTTGTTTTTGTTTTTGTTTTAACTTATCAGTGTCTGTCTTCCAGTCCTCAGTGTTCCTTTCAATGGAATGTCTGACTCAGTTTAATGATAGTTTATCAAGATGTCAGTGTTTCTCTAAGATGCTGTGGGTCTCTTCACACTAAGTGTGCTGGTCTCTGAGGGGCACAGCTGGCCGCAGTGCGGTGGGTCTTCAGTATCTGAGCCCTGGGCAGGTCCCAGATGTGCCATGTCTGGGAGACCCTGGCAGCGGGCTGACTGAGGTGGCTTTTGAATATGGCTTTTTCAGAGAGGCACGGCCTTGTACCAGGGGCAGGGCCTTCCTCGCCCTTCTCTTTGGTCAGCTGTCTCCAGCTTCCATCCTGGTGAAAGCAGCACTGCCCCATTAGCCTTCTGTGCCCAGTGTTTGGAGTAGGAGTGAACTCTAGAGGGCAAGGCCAGTCATCCAGACCCCAGCTGAGGGTGGTCAGCATAGGGGTGTCCCTGTGGCTTGAAGTGCTCCCTTTTCAGGGGAGCAGTGTGGCTTCTGATCATTGGGCCGCTGCTGCTGCCCCAGGCCCAGGCTCCTCCCTCCCTCACAGTGCTCCCTCACAGTGCCGGGTGAGTTGAGGACAGAGAGCACCTGCTTTGTAAACTTCAGTGGACTTAATTATTACTTTAAGGGACTTCTAGAATCTGCCATTGTTCGTTTTGTGTCTACTCTTGGTCTAACAAAGCTATTTTGGTGACAGAAATAACTCAGTAAAATGTAATCAAGCCACAATTCTGGCTTAATTACATTTTACTGAGTTATTCAGTGAGGTTGTAATTCAGTGGGGTTGTCTCGTTCACCTTTGAATTCTCAACCAACAGAAAAGGAACTTCGAAACAAATAAATACTGTAGGTGGGATCCTGTGCCAAGGATAATCTGTTTAAAGATTATCTGTTACTGCCAGATTGAATACAAGTCATAGAACACTAGTTTCGAGAGAATTTCTAAAAACTGATTTATGAAAGCACTGTACCATGCTATCTGGCAACACCACCCAGATGTTTACATGTGCTTGAGTTTAATGTGGCTTAATTTTACTGTTTAAAACACACTGCGTAAGGGCTGGGGTTGTGGCTCAGTGACAGAGTGCTAGCCTTGCACATGTAAGGCCCTGGGTTCCATCGTCAGCACCACATAAAAATAAATAAATAAAGTAAAGGTATTGTGTCCAACTACAACTGAAAAATAAATGTTTTTTTTTAAAAAAAAAAAAAAACAAACAAACAGTCTCATTGGCGAGTTGGAAACCGTGGCTGGGCATCTGTACAGTAGTGGCCAGTGTTTAGAGTTGAAGAGTACCCTCTCTTGAAGCCCACTGCCTGCACTCTGTGCACGGCTGCCTTTGCTTCCTTCAGTGAGTGCTCTGGATGCTGGGAGGAGCCAGGCCAGGAGAGGTGGGGAGGCCCTGGCCGGGGCCCTGTCTGTGGCTCCCTGTCCCACTGGATGGCAGCCTGCTACCTCCTCAGTGCAGTTCTGACCTGCGCTGGTGTGAGCATGTTCACCTCTGGTCACTGCTGTAGCTCCTGATCCCAAACAAGTGGCCAGTGCAGATTTTTGCTCTAGATGTTAAAATTACTCTGCTTTAAACTATGAATTTAACTAAGTCTTCACATTATACAGTTGTGGTGAGCCCTTGATCAAATGGTAATTTCAATTATTTGAATCTTCCGTTTGGAAATCATTTGTATCATACTAACAAATCCTATCTTCTAGGATTTTTTTAGAATTCTACGTATGAGTAGAACCATTCTTCTTAGGCATATTTTTAACCATTGGAAACCATCAAACTCCATTGATTATTATTATTATTTTTTTCCAATTGGAGCAGAAATACTTTGGGAGTCTGCTCAGTCATAAAGCTCTTATTAGCTGCTGTAGTGTTCTCTAAATATTTAGCTCTTGTACCTCTCATAATGAAGTTTGAAATGTTTTTTCTTCCTTTTTGTATTTGGTACTGGGAATTGAACCCATGGGTGCTTTAACACTGAGACAATCTCCAGCCCTTTTTATTTTAGATTTTGAAATAAGATCTCACCAAGTTGTTGAGACTGGCCTGGAACTTATGATCCTCCTGCCTCAGCCTCCCGAGCGGCTGGAATTATAGGCCGGCTTCCTTGCATATTTAAAAAAAAAATTTTTTTTTTAAATTTCTAGTTGTAGATGGATATAATACCTTTATTTTATGTATTTATTTTTATGTGGTGCTGAGGATCGAACCTAGTGCCTCACACATGCTAAGCAAGCACTGTACCACTGAGCCACAACTTGTTAAAAAATGGCCATTTAAAATTTTTTGATATTGTTTGAAGTAATTTAAAAAATATAATTTTTATCATTTTGCAAATATTATCATCTTATTATTGTTATGTTACTTTAAGAAATGTATTCAGTAGACTCTGCATGCCTTGGCAGTCTGATGCCTACTAGGAGCTGCTTCAGAGTGCTTGGTGGCTCAGTGGTGGAGCAGAGCACACGTCCAGCTGGCACCAGGCTCACATTCACTGAGCAGTGGGCCAAGCAGTGTGCCGTGTGTACACTCCCACCCCCACAGAGTTGTTATTGTGTTTTTCATTTTTCTTCTAGTCATATTAACATTTAACTTTTTTTCACAAAATTTTCTCCCACTGTAATATATTTTTGTGTTTAAATGTTTTTTAATTGATCAATCATAACTCTCTACAAGAAAAATATATATGCATTAAAAATTTCTTAAGCCCTTAATGTTCTAAGTGTGTTGGAAAATTTGGATGGAGGGACCATTACCATTAAAATGAACATACATCAAAGCAAATATATCTTACTTTGGGTAAACATAGAAAGTAAAATTTTGTTTTTGAAGTGTGTCTGAGTGGATGAGGCTTTCCTCTGTTTATTACTTTTTAAAAATTAAATAGTTTAGCAGATAAAAATGTAGCGGTGGGAGGTAGTGATGGGACACCAAGTCCTGCTGGATGTGAGCGTGAATCGTGCTGTGAGCCAGGCCTGCTCGTGTCTGCAGACGTGTGCCACTCCCCTGTGGTGAAGACTCTCGGAGCCCTCTCCTCCCTCCCTTTGCAGAGTGTGGCATGCTGTCCCTCCCTTGGTAACCACACTGTGCAGTGGCACCTCTTCCCTAGTCACCGTTACACTCCAGGGGCAGACACGACGGACTGATGGCCCAAACAGGGCTTCACACCATTGAGTCTTGTCTTTTCATCCCTGCAGTTACATCTGGTGCTCTTTGTTCACGTGACCAGGCTTACTCGAGTAGCAGGGGTTTGTTATGACAGTGGCCCTGATTTTTCACACTCTCTGGTCTTGTGTCAGAAATTTCAGTTATCCCAAACTCACTATTAGTGACCCTGCAGGAAACTGGGGACCTGCTGATCCACATCAAGGGGTGAGGTGTGTCTTATGTGAACTGAGGGGCAGAAGGGACCTACTCTGAGGCTGTCTGTGTGACGCCCTGTGCTCCCACTCCTGTGCTCCCACAGAGACCATGCTGGGTACCCCACCACCCTCCAGTGAGCTCCAGCAGCCGCAGCCGCAGGCCCTGCACTACGCCCTGGCCAACGCACAGCAGGTGCAGATCCACCAGATTGGAGAGGACGGGCAGGTGCAAGTAGTATGTATCTTCTCGCCAACGCAACTGGGGAGGGGACTGGGGCGGGGGGGGGGGGACACCTGCAGCACAGGACGAAGTGATTGTAATATGAGCTCTTGGAGCTCGTGGGTGATGGCAGTTATCGATGGCCTTGTCACGGAAAAGCACCTTACAGGATGACTAGTGGTCCCTCGTGGCTCCTCTTCTGTCCTGTAAGAATGTGGGCATCATCTACCTGTGCACAACCTGCTTGAGGTCCTGGCCACTTGAGGGTCCCTGCTACTGTCTGTCCTCCCAGGAGGGAATGGTTCTCAGTTCCGAGACTCAGGCGCCCTTCTCCCGAGGGAAGAAAAGGTCCTTCCTTCAATGGGAACGACGGCCTTTATTCCTGCATAGCATTTCTTTAGATTGTGTAACTCATGATGTCCCAAGTTTTCAGTGCTGTGAACAGTGTTTCACTGTTACTGCAAGTAGCACATATGTGGCTCAGTTCAACCTTTTGTGGGTGATCCACACCTGGGTTATGGGACAGAAGGGCTCACATGCAGGGGCTTCCAGCGGTCACTTCCCAGCATGAGACTCGCCTCAGCGGCTTGGACTTCTTTATGCTGGGGTCCTGCTTGTGGTCATCCCAAAGGGCTGGGGCAAGGGCCCTCCACACAAACACACACACCCATGGGCTCTTGTGGCAGACATTAGTAGTAGCAAAAAGGGCCGGGAGACTTCTTAGAGACTTGGTGGGGGTGATGGGTGTGGTGCTGCACCTGTGATCCCAGTGACTCTTGAGGCTCAGGCAGGAGGATGGCAAGTTCCAGGCCAGCCTGGGCAACTTAGTGAGGCCCTGTCTCAAAAAATAAAAAGTGCTGGGGATGTAGCTCAGTGGTAGAGTTCCCAGGGGTTCAATCTGCAGTGCTCAAGGAAAGAAAAGCCAGCTCTGACTTAAAGTTGCACCTGCGGGGCTGCCCTGAGCCCTGCCCTCCACTGCCTGCCTCACTTCCTGCAAGAAAGCCAGAACCCTTCCTGGCACTTCCACCAGCTTTATGTCCCTCAAGCTGAAACCATCGTAAAGGAAGCTGTAGTTCTAAGTTTGTCTCCCTTCTTTTTTAATGTTGCTCACATTCTTAAAATTTACCTGTCTAGTGGCATTAAAAGACTTAGCACACTTTTCCCGGGGTGCATTGCTCCTCCTGGAGTGACTGTGGTGTCTGTGACGCTGTGTCCCGAAGGTGGGTTTCAGGAGTGTCCCGTGGGCCCAGGCTTGTGCACACTGCAAGGCACTGGCCGGCACCGAGCCTTCCCTGAGTCAAGGTCAGACTTGGCGGAACACGCTTCATGTTTCCTTTGGTGTGTTTTTCTTCTGATGCTTCTTGGTGTCTTCTCTTTGCGGATCCCACAGGGCCACCTCCACATCGCCCAGGTGCCTCAAGGGGAGCAGGTGCAGATCACGCAGGACAGTGAGGTGAGTTCATTGACTCTGGGCTAAAGGTGGAGCAGATAAGGGTCCAGCAGGGCTGGGAGGCTCAGAGGTGCTGATGGCTCTTCAGCTTCTCAGATGTTACGGGACATTTTCCTCATGTCCTCACAACAGCCTTGCTGCTCTCATTAAGTGGGTGTGGATTAGTTGGGAGGAAGAGAGGTTTTCAGAAGTTTAGTTCCAGGTGAGAGCTGGTGTGAGGGTACGCGTGGGCTCACCTGCGGACGAAGCATGCGCATAGCTGGCTGAGCTCTGGCTGTGTGCAGGCTGCTGTGGGGACTCAGTGCTGGAGGCTGTACCTCCCAGAGCTGGCTGGCCCCAGACAGTTGTGTCCATCACCATGAGGAGGGCTGAAGGCGCCCTGCCTGTAGGACAGCAGCAGGAGACTCCAGGAGAAGGGCTCAGGGATCACATCTGGAAGCTCTCAGTGGGCTCACTGGGAGGGAAGCATGCTCACAGGGGGGAGGGAGAAGGAGCCAGGAGCACAGGAGGAGAGGGAGGGGGCAGGAGGAGAGGGAGGGGGGCCAGGAGGAGAGAGAGGGAGGGGGCAGGAGGGAGGGAGAGGGAACAGATGTAGGGGAGAGACAAGGGGGGCAGGAAGAGGGGGGGGCAGGAGGAGAGGGAGGGGGAGCAGATGTAGGGGAGAGACGGGGGGGGGGAGCAGGAAGAGAGGGAGGGGGCAGGAGGAGAGGGGGGGCAGGAGGAGCGGGAGAGGGAAGGGTCCAGAGAGGAGGAAAGGAGCATGGGGTGAGGGTTCCGTGGCTGACTGTCGTGCCTTAGCATCACCAGGGGGCTTTTTGGAGGACTGATGAAGGGGTGGAGGAGTGCTAGGCCTGGCTTGCAAGGGCGAGGTGCTGGGGGCAGTGAGGGCGAAGCTGGTGTCCCACAGGGAGCAGGCCTCTGAGGCTTCAGGCCTGCACTCACGTGGAGGGATGGGAGCGGAGCACGGGCAGGTTGGCCAGGGGAGTGCTGTGCTGCACTTGGGGGAATGGGTCGTCATTAAAGGCATAAGCATGGAGGGGTGGACAGACAGCCATTAGCACGTCAGTCCTGACTCTCCAGTTTCCTAGATGGCCCAGGCATCCAATCAGAATTTTCACTTTGCTTGTAAGAGAGGCAGGTGCTTGTAGTCACTCAAAGGAGAGAAAATAGATACTGTAGTAAAAGAAAAAAATAAACACAATTTTTTTTTATTGTTTTATGCTAAAATAGCCTGTGTGCTCATTCTTGAATTTCAGTTTTTACTTTCAATTTTGATTCTTTCTCCAGCTTTCAAATCAATCTGTGAATTATTTTTATTTCCATCCGTTAAGAATCAAATACAATAAATTACAACACTTTGCTTGTAGCATTAATGGTGACTTTGTGGTAAGTTAGGATATGGAGACAGTCTTCTTATCACAAGAAATCCTTACCTTCATGTTGTTTGTTTAACATGAAGTAATTACTTTGTCTGCATAGTGACATGGAGTAGAGTCTACCAGCCTAGCCCAGCTCATTTGGCGAGGAGTGGAAGTGTGGTCTGAGTGCCATGTGGTGCTCGGGCCTGCCATGCTGGTGTTGTATGGGTACCATTTGCATTGCTCAAGTATTTCAACTGTTTCAAATAAAGGTTTAAAAAGAAAAAAAGATTCTTATTTGGGGTCAGGGTAGAGGGAATGGGTGCATGTTTTGTTTTACCAAAAAATAAGTACCTAGAGACTAAGCTTAAAATATTTTATATATATATATATATATAATATATATATATATAATTTTTTTTTTTTTTTCCATTGCTACATGGGGTTGGATTTTATAGAATTAGTGATTCCTGGGTGTTTCTAGATGGCATGGGAGGTTGTGCCTGTCTGCATGGGTCATGGTGTTGTTTTTCTGTCCTTGAGTGTCTCCTTTTCCCTTTGCTTGCAGGGCAATCTACAGATCCACCACGTTGGCCAGGACGGGCAGGTAGGTTCTCTCCTGTCTTCACTTCACATCTGCCCACTGTCCCCTGGCTGGGGCTCCCCTGCCTTCTCTCCAGCATTGCCTGGGTGTGATGGCGCCTGCAGGAGGGAGCTGGGAGGGAAGGGCTGGCTTCCCTCTTGGTGGCCATGCAGGTGCCTGGAAAACAGGCAGGGCAGTGCTCTGGCACTACTGTCCTGGCTTTGTGGGATTGTGCCATAGTTTTGCCTCATAGGGGAGCTCCCCTGAATTTGTTATTATTTTCTGGTTGTGTGTGTATGAGCTGCTGGTGGGGCTTGTGCAGATAGCTGTGGGTCAGGACAAGGTGGGCTTGTTCTTGCTGTCACACTCCAACCACTTACTTTCTCTAGTTGAAGAGGAAAAGAGCAGCCCTCCAGCGAACACTCCTGGTAGGAATTCTGTAGCTGCTGAAGAGCCTCTAATGGAGGCCCCAGGGAGGCCCTTGCTGGCCAGGAGAGGGTGAGATTGGGCAAAGGGTTGTTTTCACAGCCTTTTGAAGACAGCTCCTGACAGAGACAGGATCTGGATGGCCCTTCTGTTCTGTGGCGCCCGAGCTGGGTAAGGGTGGAGAGGCTGCACACAGCTCGCTCCTATTCTGGGGGCACGAGCGCTCTCCTACGAGAGGTCTGTTCGTATTTCTGCTCTGCGTGGCACTGTGCACTGGAGAGTCGAGAACTGGACACAGGGCAGACACAGCCCTCCAACTCTTTCTCGACCCCTTGGGGTGCACTGAGAGGAGGCTGCTTGCCCTAGATAATCTGTTTGGATCAAGGTTCCAGTGGCTGAGTGCTGTGGTGGTTGTATTATATAAATCTAAATTTGCTGCTTTGAGTAAGAGCCAGAGCCAAAGGAACAGAACCAAAGAGAACCCAGTTCTTATGCGGTCCTTCTGCATCTTGGTGACAGGGCCACACAGGGCCTGGTGGAAGCTGGCTATTGTCTTTGTGGTCTTGCTTTTTGCTCATGGTCAGGGTGGCAGAGGCTCGGCCTCCTACTCATGGTTTTTCTCTTAGTTTTTGATGTTTTAGCGGCTCAGCTCATATCTATACACTGGTGGCATTATACCTTGTTGACACACACCTGGAATTTAGAGCACTTTAGCAGAAGGGTTTCTCCGTTCTTTTCTGCTGTAAGACATCTTACAGCATATTGCACTGATTTTGCAACCCTTGGTTTGAGAAATACTGAAATGGATGACTGTTAGTGTGTCTTTCTCAAGAACAGTTATAATTAAATAATTTTTAAAAGGCTTACAGCTATGAGGAATTTATACTGTACTTTTTAATATATTTCCTCTCATCTTGTTAAAAGATAATTCTTTAATTTTATTAGAAACATTTTAAAAATTGTAACGAAGTTAAAGAAAAATGATTATAAACATACTAGTTAGTTCTTTCTTAGCACCTTCTCAGGACTTTAAGTTGAGATCCAAAACATAGGATTATCTGTGTCACTCAGCACTGAGTGACTTTCCCTGAGCATTCTTGAATCAGGTGTCACCTGTCTCTGGTCTTGGGTGGCCTCGTTGTCCTTGGGGTTGGTGGTGCAACCTCATTGTGTGACTCGTACCATATCCACAGAGCTCAGGGCAGTTTTGTTCTGAAACCCTTTTCTTGCAAGGGCTCCAGGGAGAAAAGGAGCCCTGATGCTGGAGGGTCCCAGGCATAGCAAGTCTGTGTGGGAAGCCTGTGGAACGGCCCTGGGGATATCAGAGCACCCTCATCTAGCAGCTAGAGGGACTTGTTCAAGGAGCCTCTTGGTATCTGTAGGCCCTAACATACCCCAATTGCTTACTTACTGGTGCTTCCTGGCCCAAAGATGCCATGGTGTTAGGGAGTGGGCAAAAGGTGACCAGAGACTGAAGGGTAGGGGAGCAGTGTCCTCCCCGTTTGGCATTGTGTCCCCTAGAATGCCCAGCTTGTGGAAAAGGGCTCTTGGAAGGAACTAGGTGGGTGTCTTTCATGACTCTGGGTTTATTAGGCTCAAGGGTAGTTTTGCTCCAGCCTGAGCTGGGATCATTGGAAGGCCCAGCTGGCTGCCCTGTCCAAGGCAAGGGGCTTCACTGCACAGTGGTGAGAGTTCCCGTTTGGAGTGGAGTGGCATGTCCCTGCGATCCTTGTGGAAGCCACGTTTTCCTTAGGGGAGGGAGCAGAATGTTCACTCCTGAATCTTAGACTGGTAAGGTGGAGATGTGGGGCTGCCTGCAGTGTGGACATGGCATGTTTCAGGATCTACCTCCTGCCCAGCGTGGGCTCAGAGCCCCTTAGAGGAAGGCAGGCCTAGTGTAGGCAGCGTGGACTTGCCTAGGATCTGCCGGCTTGAGCACGGCCTTAGTGCAGGAGCTGGTGGTTTGCAGGTGAGGCACTACTACAGTTTGGTTTCAGAATTATCCTCCTGCCTGGGCCGAGCAAGACTTTGGGGACTGCCCTGGAAAGCTGTTCCTGTGGGTCCCTTGCCTTCTCGGGGGTGGGCTGCGGCAGGACAAGGGAAGGCTGAGGACTTTCCCCGACTATGCTGCGCGGCACAGATGCCAGGACCCTGATGCCCGCTCTCCTGGTCCTGTTTGCTCTGGTGGCAAGGAGCTCGAGTGCTGGCTGTGATTCAGGAGACGAGTGTGTTGTGTGCTTCGCTCTCACTGCTGTCCCCGGTGAATTCCTTGGTGTTGGGCCTCAGAAGTCACAACAGAGGGGTCTTTCAGGCAGGTAGAAGGCCGGTGAGAGCTGGATGCAGCCTCTGGCTGGGAAGGGCTGTGTGGTTTCCTAAGAGAGGGCCTGGAAGGAGCAGTCCCTCACGGAACCTGCCGAGGTCCAATTAGCTGGAGCAGCGGTGTCTGAAGGGCCTCGCGTAGCTCTGTGAGGAGGTCCCGTGGGTCCCTGTGCTGCCACGCTCCATGCTGCTGCAATGTCCTGGCCCACAGCAGACATATGTCCAGACAGCCGAGGAGGCAGTGGGTCGTCTGGATCGACTTCATCGTTTTCAGTGTACCTTTGAAAGGTAGATGAAAGACCTGGAGTATTAGAACCATTAGATCCATTTTTGTCCCTCAGAGTACCCAGTGCAGTGGACAATAGTACGTATCGATACTCCAGGATTCCTCGTTGAGTCCTTGGGTCGATAAGTTAGCATGCAGTCAAGTGAAGACATTTGAAAACTTCCATGTTTGACATTTTAAGATGTGGCAGATGGAGGCTGCTCCCCGCTCTGGAGATGGCCTGTACTCTCCCTTGAGTATGTCTCTGTTTCCCTGAATAAACTTCTGCCCAGGCCTCTTTTCCCCCCTTTTATTAAGCAGGTTTATTGCAGTATGATTGACTTGTCACAGTTCGACATTTGATGTGTTAATGTGTGACCAGCTTTAAACAACCACAAGTGGAATGTGTTTGCTCCTTCTCAGTTTCCAGCAATGACCTGAAAGCTCACAGAGTAGCCCAGAGCTTCAGTGAGCTGAGCCATCATGACCTCTGGGCAGTTGTGTGCTTCTTTCTAGTAGCATCAAGTTTGGAACGTGGTTTGGTGACTCCTGGGCCTTTCCAAAGCTTTTCTGTTAGCATCTTTTCAACGTGCCTCTTTTCCTGGGCAGTGGGCCTCGTGCCTTCACTTGGCAGTGCGGATGGTTTCTTGGGGGTGGCTCAGCCCAGGCCCACTCCTACGGTGTGTAGGTGCTTGGTAAGCTCAGGTGGAGCTGCTGATGAAGGAGGTGAAGATCCTTTAGCCCAGGGACCCTTCTAGAAGGCTGTCGAGGAGCCGAGGCTGGCAGTGTTTTTTCTCCAGGTGCCTCATCTCCTGGGTCAAGGAAATGACAGTGGAGAGCACCTGTGAGGACACTTGAGGCTGTCCTGCTCAGGCCCAGGTTTCCCTCGGCAATCTGGGAGCTCTGACTAGTCCAACTTGTGTCAAGGTGGAAGGTTCTTCTCCATGCGCTTGACTTGGGGTCGCACTGAGAGGAGGTTCCACACTGTACTGAGCACCTGCCTTTTGGGCCAGAGGAACAGATGCCAGGCCAGGAGGTCGGTCATCTGCACTGAGCCTCCCCGAGCTCCCTGGTCAGCAGTCAGGCCTGAGGAGTTCAGGATCCCATGGCCTCACGGCCAGACTGGATAATGAGGGGGCAGAGGGCATGGAAGGAGCTGCTCCCAAATGTGGCCTTTGAGAGCCATGGGCTCTGTGCCTGGCGGGGGCTGATGAGGACTGCTCTCACCCTAAGGGGTGAGTGAGGCAGGGCTGTGGAGCAAGCTGTGCTTCGAGCGTGGCCTCATCTCTTCTGTCCACCTGCTGGCTTTGAGGGTGCACTGCAGGTGGCTGTCTGGTTCCTCTGGGCAGTGGGGAGTCCTTGGCCTAGGTGTAGTGATGTGGCCCTGCGGGGGCTGCTTGGCTACAGTGGTGCTCCTACGTGTCGAGGTGGCTGGAGTCTCCCGTTCCCAGCTCTCTGACTCGGGGAGCTGTGGAGGGCAGCGAGGACCGTGCTGTGGCTTCTGTGGACTTCCACACCAGTCTGCCTTGAGGACAGGCCCGCTGGATGTTGCCACACCCCACCTGTCCTCCCCTGCCACTATGCTGGCACCTCAAAGCCCCCACTGGGCACAGCCAGTTGTGGAATCAGTGCTGCTGTCTCGTGTCACCCATCGACTGGTGGACAATACCAAAAGGAAAGAGTGGAATGGTGATGTGGGTGCGCTGCATGAAGCCAGAAAGTCCCGGAAACCTTTAGAGTCACAGCGGTCCTGGAACAGTGGCCAAGGCGAGGAAAACTGGGACCAGGGCAGAGAATCAGTAAATCCAGGAAGTTGAGGAGGTGTTGCCAGCAACAAATGGTAGCTGCTGGCCAGCCTTGGCCTTTAGCCATCTGCATAGACACCAGGCAGTGAGCGGCAGGAGGCGTGGCTCCTTAAAAATTGGTCTTAATAGGGGAAAAGAGAAAAAAAGAAAAAAGGGCGAGTCCTTTCAGAGTCTCCTTTTGGGGCGCCATGAGCACAATGTGGGGAAGT